TTTCAGTTATGCAACAGTATAACATTCTAGTATCTTATTGTTGGCTGTTCATATATCTTACGATAAGTTCTTAAATCTCTCTAGCCAAGCTAAACCAAAGTTTCATATCTCTTCTAACAAAGTTTTCTCAACTGCCCTCTTAGGCGTCTAGGCACTAACTGTCTGTCCCTTTCTTCTCTCCCCTGCTCTTCAGCATGGCTTCCTCTCTCTTCCTTGCGTGGGTTCTCAATCACCCCCTGTCACTCGTCTCCGGTGGTCACGTTTGGATAAACGTACTCTATTCAACTGGTCACAGTGTACCTGGTTTATCTGTTTCACTTTGTCGGGCCAGCGTTCTAATCACTGGTTTCTGTCAAGCCAACCAGTGATGGATTGGGATGCCTTGATGCTGGTCTGAAATGGATGCATTCTTCATATAACCCCTCTCTCAGCCTTCCTATTTCACTTCAGATGTGTGATATGATCAGTTGATGAGTGTTGTAGTGAGCTGATGTGTGATATGATCAGTTGATGAGTGTTGTAGTCAGCTGATGTGTGATATGATCAGTTGATGAGCGTTGTAGTCAGCTGATGTGTGATATCATCAGTTGATGAGTGTTGTAGTCAGCTGATGTGTGATATACTGAGTTGATAAGCTTTGTAGTCAGCTGATGTGTGATATGATGAGTTGATGAGCGTTGTAGTCAACTGATGTGTGATATGATTAGTTGATGAGTGTTGTAGTCAGCTGATGTGTGATATGATTAGTTGATGAGTGTTGTAGTCAGCTGATGTGTGATATGCCAGTTGATGAGTGTTGTAGTCAGCTGATGTGTGATATGATTAGCTGATGAGTGTTGTAGTCAGCTGATGTGTGATATAATGAGTTGATGAGTGTTGTAGTCAGCTGATGTGTGATATGATTAGCTGATGAGTGTTGTAGTCAGCTGATGTGTGATATGATTAGTTGATGAGTGTTGTAGTCAGCTGATGTGTGATATGATTAGTTCATGAGTGTTGTAGTCAGCTGATATGTGATATGATGAGTTGATGAGTGTTGTAGTCAGCTGATGTGTGATATGCCAGTTGATGAGTGTTGTAGTCAGCTGATGTGTGATATGATGAGTTGATGAGTGTTGTAGTCAGCTGATGTGTGATATGATGAGTTGATGAGTGTTGTAGTCAACTGATGTGTGATATGATTAGTTGATGAGTGTTGTAGTCAGCTGATGTGTGATATGCCAGTTGATGAGTGTTGTAGTCAGCTGATATGTGATATGATTAGTTAATGAGTGTTGTAGTCAGCTGATGTGTGATATGATCAGTTGATGAGTGTTGTAGTCAGCTGATGTGTGATATGATCAGTTGATGAGTGTTGTAGTCAGCTGATATGTGATATGATTAGTTCATGAGTGTTGTAGTCAGCTGGTGTGTGATTTGATCAGTTGATGGGGATATATGGAGTCTTGTTTGTTTTTTTTTCTATTTCAATAATGTATATTTTTGTCTACCGAGTATGTATGGTTCTTTAATATCACACAGTTTATTTATTATTTGTATAAGATTATAGGAGTATACATTGTCACATTCAATATATTTTTAATGTACTTTCAAACAATTATGGTAATTATATATTGTGGTCTTTCTTTGCGTATATTTGAATTGATCTGCAATACCATTATTTTGTCTTAAGATATATTATCATCTCCTATGCAAACTCCGGCTTGTGATCTACCATTTAATTCTTTAGGACCATCTACTGCCAGCATGTTCTCAATTGTCATATGCTTATCCCTAAAAAGGTTGCAACCCGCACAGCTTGGAAATCACTGGCTAGGGTGGTTTCTTACTTTCACAACAGATCTCTTCATGTGTAGCAAGTGTGTTTGTAGTTGTTCTTGCTGCTTAACTTGTAGTTTTATTCTTTTGAAGGGATTGAAGAAAATCAGTCTGAAGTTCTATCAGGCCTTAGTAATCAGTAATGACTAACTAAAGATTACCTGTATGAGATCTTTGATCAGTGAGGAGATGAACACATTCTCCAGCTTCATGTCTTCATTCTCCAGAACATCCTTTCAACACAAGCAAAAACGCCTTGTCAACATATAGGATACCCTCTCAACAAACAGAACACCATGTCAACAAACAGAATGCCCTGTCAACAAACAGAACACTCTGTCAACAAACATAACACCCTGTTAGCAAACAGAACACCATGTCAACAAACAGAACACCCTGTCAACAAACAGAACACCATGTCAACAAACAGAACACCCTGTCAACAAACAGAACACCATGTCAACAAACAGAACACCCTGTCAACAAACAGAACACCTTGTCAACAAACAGAACACCATGTCAACAAACAGAACATCCTCTCAACAAACAGAACACCCTGTCAACAAACAGAACACCCTGTCAACAAACACAACACCATGTCAGCAAACAGATACTTTGTCAACAAGCAGAACACCCTGTCAACAAACAGAACACCCTGTCAACAAACAGGACACCCTGTCAACAAACAGAACACCCTGTCAACAAACAGAACAACATGTCAACAAACAGAACACCCTGTCAACAAACAGAACACCTTGTCAACAAACAGAACACCCTGTCAACAAACAGAACACCCTGTAAACAAACAGAACACCATGTCAACAAACAGAACACCCTGTCAACAAACAGAACACCCTGTCAACAAACAGAACACCCTGTCAGCAAACACAACACCATGTCAGCAAACAGATAATTTGTCAACAAGCAGAACACCCTGTCAACAAACATAACACCCTGTCAACAAACAGAACACCCTGTCAACAAACAGAACACCCTGTCAATAAGCAGAACACCCTGTCAACAAACAGAACACCATGTCTGCAAACAGAACACCATGACAGCAAACAGAACACCATGTCAGCAAACACAACACCCTGTCAACAAACAGAACACCCTGTCAACAAAGAGAACACCCTGTCAATAAGCAGAACACCCTGTCAACAAACAGAACACCATGTCAGCAAACAAAACACCCTGTCAATAAGCAGAACACCCTGTCAACAAACAGAACACCCTGTCAGCAAACACAACACCATGTCAGCAAACAGAACACCCTGTCAACAAACAGAACACCCTGTCAATAAGCAGAACACCCTGTCAACAAACAGAACACCATGTCAGCAAATAGAGCACCATGACAGCAAACAGAACACCATGTCAGCAAACACAACACCCTGTCAACAAACAGAACACTCTGTCAATAAGCAGAACACCCTGTCAACAAACAGAACACCATGTCAGCAAACAGAACACCCTGTCAATAAGCAGAACACCCTGTCAACAAACAGAACACCCTGTCAACAAACAGAACACCCTGTCAACAAACAGAACACCCTGTCAGCAAACACAACACCATGTCAGCAAACAGATACTTTGTCAACAAGCAGAACACCCTGTCAACAAACATAACACCCTGTCAACAAACAGAACACCCTGTCAACAAACAGAACACCCTGTCAATAAGCAGAACACCCTGTCAACAAACAGAACACCATGTCAGCAAACAGAACACCATGACAGCAAACAGAACACCATGTCAGCAAACACAAACACCCTGTCAAACAAACAGAACACCCTGTCAACAAACAGAACACCCTGTCAATAGCAGAACACCCTGTCAACAAACAGAACACCATGTCAGCAAACAGAACACCCTGTCAATAAGCAGAACACCCTGTCAACAAACAGAACACCATGTCAGCAAACAGAACACCATGACAGCAAACAGAACACCATGTCAGCAAACACAACACCCTGTCAACAAACAGAACACCCTGTCAACAAACAGAACACCCTGTCAATAAGCAGAACACCCTGTCAACAAACAGAACACCATGTCAGCAAACAGAACACCCTGTCAATAAGCAGAACACCCTGTCAACAAACAGAACACCCTGTCAACATACAGAACACCCTGTCAATAAGCAGAACACCCTGTCAACAAACAGAACACCATGTCAGCAAACAGAACACCATGACAGCAAACAGAACACCCTGTCAGCAAACACAACACCATGTCAGCAAACTGATACTTTGTCAACAAACAGAACACCCTGTCAACAAACGCCTGAGTCAATAATTAATCAAGACGACACTGTCACATAGCAAGTTTCCTGCTTTGTGTGAGACTATGTTGACTGGAGAACTCAGGTCTAGTTTTGTAAAATTAGATCTCTAAGACTGGAACACAGACATCCGTGTAGGCAGTTGACTGTGTTAGCCACTGAACCACTAACATCAGCTGACATATCATACAAAATCAACGATGTGTTTCTCGAAACAAACTTCACAATGTGTAAGGCATTATAACACCCCCACACCCCCTCTCCCAATAATATCTCAATACCTAAAGTGGTAGATAAACCACTGTATAATGTGGAACCACATTTCTCTATGTCTAAGGTGACAAATCAAATGCCTTATACTGTTTGATAAAATACAAAAGTTTCTAGTTACCTCTTGATTCGGTGGAATTTGGAAAGCTACCCTAAAACTTAACATTAATGATTGTCATTTCATCCACTCTGTTCTGCGCAAGTACCAGTTAATGAATGTTTGTAGTTTATTAGCAATTGTTTTAGTGGTTATCAATGGCTCCGCTTCATCCAACAGTAGCTTTTAGAGTGACAATTTATATTTAGTTTTGGTAATAATTTCCTTTGACTTCCACACATTTCTTAGTACTATGAAAGCTTCCTTTGCCTGCTGTTTTTGTATTTTAATGTCTCTATCCTCCATTCCATAGGTGTACGACTCCACATCTTGGAGCGGGATATCATGAAGAGAAATTAAACTGTTGTTTGCCTGGTCTATTCTCATTACAGTTGTCTTTCCCTTATGGATTTTTAAACTTGTGATCTCTAACTAGAAACACAAACATGTCTGTGACTAAATGCCAGTGAAAGATCAAGTGCCAGCTGTTGTTGATTTCTAGACATACAGTTATTGAAACATGGCCCAACCTGAAGGCTGCCCTTGTGACAGTAAACAGTGACCAGTGTCAGGACTGAGGCTTCCAGGCAGGCTCCGATGAAAGTGTTGACATTTTTGTGCAGCAGTTCCCTCATCTGTAATCAGCATCAATTAGATTGGGTGCTTCCCTTGTTGGATAGAGCATACAACAGATTGTGTGTGTTTGTCTAGTGGGGGTGGGGGGGGGGGCAGGATCAATTAGATTGGGTGCTTCCCTTGTTGGACAGAGCATAGAACAGATTGTGTGTGTGTCTAGTGGGTGTGTGGGCAGTTTAGATTAGTGGTTTGTTGGAGAGCATAGAACAGGGGTGTGTGTCTGTCTAGTGGGGGGGTGGGGGCACGGATCAAATTAGATTGGGTGCTTTCCTTGTTGGACAGAGCATAGAACAGATTGTGTGTGTGTTTTGTCTGTGTGTGGGAGTTTGTCTAGTGGTTGGGAAGGGGGGGGGGAGGGGGACAGGATCAATTAGATTGGGTGCTTCCCTTGTTTGACAGAGCATACAACAGATTGTGTGTGTGTGTGGTGTGTGTGTGAATAGTTGTGTCCTTCCTTGTTGGGGGGGGCAGGATCAATTAGTGTGGGTGTAAGTCTCTTGTTGGACAGAGCATAGATGTATGTGATTGTGTGTGTGTCTGTTGTGGGGGTGTAAGTGGTGTGTGGGGGGTGTACAGGATAAATTAGATTGGGTGGGTGTCCCTGTTGTGACAGAGCATAGAGTCAGATTGTGTGTGTGTAAGTGTGTGTGTGTGAGTTTGTCTAGTGTGTGTGAGTGTGGGGGTGGGGGGCGGATAAATTAGATTGGGTACTTCCCTTGTTGGACAGAGCATAGATCAGATTGTGTGTGTGTAAGTGTGTGTGTGAGTTTGTCTAGTGGTTTGGGAGTAAGGGGGGGGGGGGGGCAGGATAAATTAGATTGGGTGCTTCATTTTTTTGGTAGAGCATATAATAGTTTGTTTCTTTATTTGGTGTGTTCATGAATGTGTGTGTGGGTGTATGTGTGTGTTGTAGTGTACAGTGTGTAGAATAAGTGTATGTGTGTGTGTAATTGTATGTGTGTGTGTGTGTAAGTGTATGTGTGTGTGTGTAAGTGTATGTGTGTGTGTGTGTAAGTGTATGTGTGTGTGTGTGTAAGTGTATGTGTGTGTGTGTGTAAGTGTATGTGTGTGTGTGTAAGTGTATGTGTGTGGGTGTTAGTTTATGTGTGTGGGCGAATATGGTTATATTAGGTCCTTCCCTTGTTGGACAGAGCACAGATACGTTTTTTTTTTTTTTGGTTATACATCTTATTTTCATTTTCTCTATCAATTCTTGCATGTGGGTTGACAACTGAAGCTAGATATTGTATTAACTTTACTGTTTTATATCAAATATTAACTGCTACATAAATTTGTGGTCATCAATTGTCTGACACTGTCACTGTCTTATATAAAATATTATCTGCTACATAAATTTGTGGTCATCAATTGTCTGACACTGTCACTGTCTTATATAAAATATTATCAACTACATAAATTTGTGGTCATCAATTGTCTGACACTGTCACTGTCTTATATAAAATATTATCTATTACATAAATTTGTGGTCATCAATTGTCTGACACTGTCACTGTCTTATATAAAATCTTATCTGCTACATAAATTTGTGGTCATTAACTGCTTGACACTGTCACTGTCTTATATAAAATATTATCAACTATGTAAATTTGTGGTCATCAATTGTCTGACACTTTCACTGTCTTATATAAAATATTACCAACTACGTACCAACTACGTACATTTGTGGTCATCAATTGTCTGACACTATCACTGTCTTATATAAAATATTATCAACTACATACATTTGTGGTCATCAATTGTCTGACACTGTCAATGGGATTTCATCAATTATACCTTCTCTAAAATACAAATATTTCATCACTAACTGCCTCCCACTGTCATTGAGATATAAGAGAAAAGACTTTCTATGCCTAGTGTGTAAATGTTTATCACTGTCTCCTACTGTCATTGAGGTATCAGAGAAAAGACTTTCTCTACCTAGTGTGTAAATGTTTATCACTAACTGCCTCCCACTGTCATTGAGATATCAGAGAAAAGACTTTCTCTGCCTAGTGTGTAAATGTTTATTACTAACTGCCTCCTACTGTCATTGAGATATCAGAGAAAAGACTTTCTCTGCCTAGTGTGTAAATGTTTATCACTAATTGCCTCCTACTGTCATTGAGATGTCAGAGACAAGACTTTCTCTACCTAGTATATTTCATCACTAACTGTCTCCTACTGTCATTGAGATATCAGAGAAAAGACTTTCTCTGCCTAGTGTGTAAATGTTTATTACTAACTGTCTCCTACTGTCATTGAGATATCAGAGACAAGACTTTCTCTGCCTAGTGTGTAAATGTTTATTACTAACTGCCTCCTACTGTCATTGGGATATCAGAGAAAAGGCTTTCTCTGCCTAGTGTGTAAATGTTTATCACTAACTGCCTCCCACTGTCATTGAGATATCAGAGAAAAGACTTTCTCTACCTAGTGTGTAAATGTTTATCACTAACTGCCTCCCACTGTCATTGAGATATCAGAGAAAAGAATTTCTCTGCCTAGTGTGTAAATGTTTATTACTAACTGCCTCCTACTGTCATTGAGATATCAGAAAAAAGACTTTCTCTGCCTAGTGTATAAATGTTTATCACTAACTGCCTCCTACTGCCATTGAGATGTCAGAGAAAAGACTTTCTCTACCTAGTATATTTCATCACTAACTGTCTCCTACTGTCACTGAGATATCAGAGAAAAGACTTTCTCTGCCTAGTGTGTAAATGTTTATCACTAACTGTCTCCTACTGTCATTGAGATATCAGAGAAAAGACTTTCTCTGCCTAGTGTGTAAATGTTTATTACTAACTGCCTCCTACTGTCATTGAGATATCAGAGAAAAGACATTCTCTACCTAGTATATTTCATCACTAACTGCCTCCCACTGTCATTGAGATATCAGAGAAAAGACTTTCTCTACCTAGTGTGTAAATGTTTATCACTGTCTCCTACTGTCATTGAGATATCAGAGAAAAGACTTTCTCTACCTAGTATATTTCATCACTAACTGCCTCCCACTGTCATTGAGATATCAGAGAAAAAACTTTCTCTACCTAGTGTGTAAATGTTTATCACTAACTGTCTCCTACTGTCATTGAGATATCAGAGAAACGACTTTTTCTAAACAGAAATTTTTGATCACAGCAGTTACCAATTTCATCTCCATCTTCTCCCGTCTGCTCAGCGCAGAGGTTCCCATGTTGTAGGTTTTCAGGGCCACAGTCTGTCCCTTGTACTTCCCAATGAATGAGAACACCCGCACTAGTGAGTTTCTGGACTCCAGGGACATCACAAAGGCATTCTGAAAGAGTGGTATGTTGATTATCAGAAACTGACAACACAGCACTCGGGGCATTCTCATGCATGCTTCGTCCTCATCTTCAGCAGCCAGCACAGAGTTCACAGTACTGATTGTACCGGTCACAATCTGGTTATAAGTCCGTCTTGCCTTTCCCCTGAGTGTAGTGAACCGGCCAGACCCTCTGTTTACACCAGGTGCCTCATTCTCTCCAGGCCATAATAATCTTCTTTCATTTCTGATTCCGTTGCTTGTTCCCAAAGGGCCTTGACCACATCTGCCTTGTCATGTATCAATTCACCACCCAGTGATGCGGATCCAGCCATTCTTTTTGCCTGTTCACTACCCACCATGCTGGGATTGCCTGGAGAAAAGATCCAAAGTATGCTCACCACCCGTGACCTTTCCAGTGAAGCTTGTCACTCTGCTCAAAACATCCCTGTCCTCACCTTTTTCAGCACGCTTTCAGAGTCTGTCACAATTACATGTGTATGCATCTTGTTCTCTAGCCACCGGAGAGCTGCAGTTACCGCCTCCATCTCCATTCTCATGCTAGATGTTGTGGTGTCATATGCTCGGCTGTCTTGCCCTAAAGATTTTCCATTAGCTTTTGCTGCGAACCCCCAGGCACTTCTCTTTCCTCTCAACACTGAACAATCTGTATAGATAATTAGATCATCTGGGCGTGAATTGTCGTGAATCAACTGTTGGACCTCAATCTCCGTAGTACCCGCTGGCCACTCTCTGCACACCCGACCCAATGTTATTATAACCCTACACAGGTCAGACTTTCCCGCTAGTACTCTGACCGAGCATGCATACTTGTCTTATTGTGTCTTCAGCTCGAGCCATCAAAGATTTTCCCCTTTTCAGCCTCTGACCCTTGCCTGCTGTTTCTGCCGAGGGTGTTTCCTGTCTACATCTACTCTGAGGTATGACTTAGCCTGCAGCACCTTTAGCCTATCTGCAATGGTCGGCAATGGTCGGCAATGCAAGGATGTATCGCATGCACACAATCGGGGCGTCTCTTGTACATCCCAGGATCAGCTGCATAGCTTCATTCTGTATTCGCTCCAGTTTCTTTAGTCTTCAAAACATTGAGTAACCCCCATCCATAATCAATCACTGAGATGATTAAGTGCTGATAAAGTGTGAACAGCATTCTCTGCTTGATGTCCATCGCAACATAATCTTAAGTGCGTTTAGACCTTTTTGAACCCTTGTCACAACCTCCTCTATGTGATCCCTGAAAGACAAACTTTTGTCAAAGGTGATTCCCATGTACAGCAGTCTGCTGTCTCTTTTGGTGTCCCTGCCATTTATTTTGAGTCTGTGAACATCAGCTCTAACAATCCTGTGCGGTTTCTGGGTTTATTGCAGTACTCATCTCTGTACACCAGTCCATCACCTTATCTAATGATGCCTGTAAATCTTCACATATCTGATTCCGAGCTCTCCCCTGTCTATATACAAGTGAAGTGAATTAATGTGGCAGGATGTAACATCAACAATATCAGATATGTGGGTGTATCAGATATGTGAATGTATCAAATATGTGGATGTATAAGATATGTGGATGTATCAAATACGTGGATGATACAGTGTCAACTGCAGACAATAAAGAAACTCTGCAGTGTTTATTGGATGCAGTAATAGTTAACAGTGAGACATTGGGCTTGGATTTAAATTGTAATAACACAGAAATGATGATAATCACCAAGAAGAAATACCAAATTATGAAGTATACGCAAATGGCAAATCTCATAACATCTAATGCCAGATGCCTTGCAGAAATCAGAACAAACATTGTGATGAACAAAATAAGCCAGCAAGATGCAAAAGATCATCATCAATAAAAAATATGTAATTTAAAGATTACACTAAAAGGGAACCAGTGTTGTAGAGTCCATAGGTCTGATCTAAGAGAGAACCACTGTTGTAGGAGTCCATAGGTCTGATCTAAGAGAGAACCACTGTTGTAGAGAGTCCATAGGTCTGATCTAAGAGAGAACCAGTGTTGTAGGGAGTCCATAGGTCTGATCTAAGAGAGAACCACTGTTGTAGGGAGTCCATAGGTCTGATCTAAGAGAGAACCACTAGTAGTTGTAGAGAGTCCATAGGGTCTGATCTAAGAGAGAACCACTGTTGTAGGGAGTCCATAGGTCTGATCTAAGAGAGAACCACTGTTGTAGAGAGTCCATAGGTCTGATCTAAGAGAGAACCACTGTTGTAGAGAGTCCATAGGTCTGATCTAAGAGAGAACCACTGTTGTAGGGAGTCCATAGGTCTGATCTAAGAGAGAACCACTGTTGTAGAGAGTCCATAGGTCTGATCTAAGAGAGAACCACTGTTGTAGAGAGTCTACAGGTCTGATCTAAGAGAGAACCAGTGTTGTAGGGAGTCCATAGGTCTGATCTAAGAGAGAACCACTGTTGTAGAGAGTCCATAGGTCTGATCTAAGAGAGAACCACTGTTGTAGAGAGTCCATAGGTCTGATCTAAGAGAGAACCACTGTTGTAGAGAGTCCATAGGTCTGATCTAAGAGAGAACCACTGTTCTACCATAAGTCTGATCTAAGACAGAACCACTGTTGTAGAGTCCACAGGTCTGATCTAAGAGAGAACTACTGTTGTAGATTCCATAGGTCTGATCTAAGAGAGAACCACTGTTGTAGAGAGTCCACAGGTCTGATCTAAGAGAGAACTACTGTTGTAGATTCCATAGGTCTGATCTAAGAGAGAACCACTGTTGTAGAGTCCATAAGTCTGATCTAATAGAGAACCAGTGTTTTAGGGAGTCTACAGATCTGATCTAAGAGAGAACCAGTGTTGTAGAGAGTCCATAGGTCTGATCTAAGAGAGTGCCGCTGTTGTAGGGAGTCCATAGGTCTGATCTAAGAGAGAACCAGTGTTGTAGAGAGTCCATAGGTCTGATCTAAGAGAGAACCACTGTTGTAGGGAGTCCATAGGTCTGATCTAAGAGAGAACCACTGTTTGTAGAGAGTCCATAGGTCTGATCTAAGAGAGAACCACTGTTGTAGGGAGTCCATAGGTCTGATCTAAGAGAGAACCACTGTTGTAGAGAGTCCATAGGTCTGATCTAAGAGAGAACCACTGTTGTAGGGAGTCCATAGGTCTGATCTAAGAGGTCTGAGAAGAGAGAACACTGTTGTAGAGAGTCCATAGGTCTGATCTAAGAGAGAACCACTGTTGTAGGGAGTCCATAGGTCTGATCTAAGAGAGAACCACTGTTGTAGAGAGTCCATAGGTCTGATCTAAGAGAGAACCACTGTAGAGAGTCCATATGTCTGATCTAAGAGAGAACCACTGTTCTACCATAAGTCTGATCTAAGAGAGAACCACTGTTGTAGGGAGTCCATAGGTCTGATCTAAGAGAGAACCACTGTTGTAGGGAGTCCATAGGTCTGATCTAAGAGAGAACCACTGTTGTAGGGAGTCCATAGGTCTGATCTAAGAGAGAACCACTGTTGTAGAGAGTCCATAGGTCTGATCTAAGAGAGAACCACTGTTGTAGAGTCCATAGGTCTGATCTAAGAGAGAACCACTGTTGTAGAGAGTCCATAGGTCTGATCTAAGAGAGAACCACTGTTGTAGGGAGTCCATAGGTCTGATCTAAGAGAGAACCACTGTTGTAGAGAGTCCATAGGTCTGATCTAAGAGAGAACCACTGTTGTAGAGAGTCCATAGGTCTGATCTAAGAGAGAACCACTGTTGTAGAGAGTCCATAGGTCTGATCTAAGAGAGAACCACTGTTGTAGGGAGTCCATAGGTCTGATCTAAGAGAGAACCACTGTTGTAGGGAGTCCATAGGTCTGATCTAAGAGAGAACCACTGTTGTAGAGAGTCCATAGGTCTGATCTAAGAGAGAACCACTGTTGTAGAGAGTCCATAGGTCTGATCTAAGAGAGAACCACTGTTGTAGATCTAAGTCCACTAGGTCTGATCTAAGAGAGAACCAACTGTTGTAGAGAGTCCATAGGTCTGATCTAAGAGAGAACCACTGTTGTAGAGAGTCCATAGGTCTGATCTAAGAGAGAACCACTGTTGTAGGGAGTCCATAGGTCTGATCTAAGAGAGAACCACTGTTGTAGAGAGTCCATAGGTCTGATCTAAGAGAGAACCACTGTTGTAGAGAGTCCATAGGTCTGATCTAAGAGAGAACCACTGTTGTAGTATCTATAGGTCTGAGAGAGAACCACTGTTGTAGGGAGTCCATAGGTCTGATCTAAGAGAGAACCACTGTTGTAGAGAGTCCATAGGTCTGATCTAAGAGAGAACCACTGTTGTAGAGAGTCCATAGGTCTGATCTAAGAGAGAACCACTGTTGTAGAGAGTCCATAGGTCTGATCTAAGAGAGAACCACTGTTGTAGAGAGTCCATAGGTCTGATCTAAGAGAGAACCACTGTTGTAGAGTCCATAGGTCTGATCTAAGAGAGAACCACTGTTGTAGAGAGTCCATAGGTCTGATCTAAGAGAGAACCACTGTTGTAGAGAGTCCATAGGTCTGATCTAAGAGAGAACCACTGTTGTAGAGAGTCCATAGGTCTGATCTAAGAGAGAACCACTGTTGTAGAGAGTCCATAGGTCTGATCTAAGAGAGAACCACTGTTGTAGAGAGTCCATAGGTCTGATCTAAGAGAGAACCACTGTTGTAGAGAGTCCATAGAGAGAACCACTGATCTAAGAGAGAACCACTGTTGTAGAGAGTCCATAGGTCTGATCTAAGAGAGAACCACTGTTGTAGAGAGTCCATAGGTCTGATCTAAGAGAGAACCACTGTTGTAGGGAGTCCATATGGTCTGATCTAAGAGAGAACCACTGTTGTAGAGAGTCCATAGGTCTGATCTAAGAGAGAACCACTGTTGTAGAGAGTCCATAGGTCTGATCTAAGAGAGAACCACTGTTGTAGAGAGTCCATAGGTCTGATCTAAGAGAGAACCACTGTTGTAGAGAGTCCATAGGTCTGATCTAAGAGAGAACCACTGTTGTAGAGAGTCCATAGGTCTGATCTAAGAGAGAAACCACTGTTGTAGGGAGTCCATAGGTCTGATCTAAGAGAGAACCACTGTTGTAGGGAGTCCATAGGTCTGATCTAAGAGAGAACCACTGTTGTAGAGAGTCCATAGGTCTGATCTAAGAGAGAACCACTGTTGTAGGGAGTCCATAGGTCTGATCTAAGAGAGAACCAGGTTGTAGATCTAAGAGAGAAGAGAGAACACTGTTGTAGAGAGTCCATAGGTCTGATCTAAGAGAGAACCACTGTTGTAGAGAGTCCATAGGTCTGATCTAAGAGAGAACCACTGTTGTAGGGAGTCCATAGGTCTGATCTAAGAGAGAACCACTGTTGTAGAGAGTCCATAGGTCTGATCTAAGAGAGAACCACTGTTGTAGAGAGTCCATAGGTCTGATCTAAGAGAGAACCACTGTTGTAGAGAGTCCATAGGTCTGATCTAAGAGAGAACCACTGTTGTAGAGAGTCCATAGGTCTGATCTAAGAGAGAACCACTGTTGTAGAGAGTCCATAGTCCATCTAAGAGAGAACCAGTGTTGAGAGAGTCTAAGAGAAGAGAGAACCACTGTTGTAGGGAGTCCATAGGTCTGATCTAAGAGAAAACCACTGTTGTAGAGAGTCTACAGGTCTGATCTAAGAGAGAACCACTGTTGTAGAGAGTCCATAGGTCTGATCTAAGAGAGAACCACTGTTGTAGGCAGTCCATAGGTATGATCTAAGAGAGAACTGCTGTTGTAGAGAGTCTACAGGTCTGATCTAAGAGAGAACCACTGTTGTAGGGAGTCCATAGGTCTGATCTAAGAGAGAACTGCTGTTGTAGAGAGTCTACAGGTCTGATCTAAGAGAGAACCACTGTTGTAGAGAGTCCATAGGTCTGATCTAAGAGAGAACTACTGTTGTAGAGAGTCCATAGGTCTGATCTAAGAGAGAACCACTGTTGTAGGGAGTCCATAGGTCCGATCTAAGAGAGAACCACTGTTGTAGGGAGTCCATAGGTCTGATCTAAGAGAGAACCACTGTTGTAGGGAGTCCATAGGTCTGATCTAAGATAGAACCAGTGTTGTAGAGAGTCTACAGGTCTGATCTAAGAGAAAACCACTGTTGTAGGGAGTCCATATGTCTGATCTAAGAGAGAACCACTGTTGTAGAGTCTACAGGTCTGATCTAAGAGAGAACCACTGTTGTAGGGAGTCCATAGGTCTGATCTAAGAGAGAACCACTGTTGTAGGGAGTCCATAGGTCTGATCTAAGAGAGAACCACTGTTGTAGAGTCCATAGGTCTGATCTAAGAGAGAACCACTGTTGTAGAGAGTCCATAGGTCTGATCTAAGAGAGAACCACTGTTGTAGAGTCCATAGGTCTGATTTAAGAGAGAACCACTGTTGTAGAGAGTCCATAGGTCTGATCTAAGAGAGAACCACTGTTGTAGGGAGTCCATAGGTCTGATCTAAGAGAGAACCACTGTTGTAGGGAATCCATAGGTCTGATCTAAGAGAGAACCACTGTTGTAGTGAGTCCATAGGTCTGATCTAAGAGAGAACCAGTGTTGTAGAGAGTCTACAGGTCTGATCTAAGAGAGAACCACTGTTGTAGAGAGTCTACAGGTCTGATCTAAGAGAGAACCACTGTTGTAGGGAGTCCATAGGTCTGATCTAAGAGAGAACCACTGTTGTAGGGAGTCCATAGGTCTGATCTAAGAGAGAACCACTGTTGTAGGGAGTCCATAGGTCTGATCTAAGAGAGAACCACTGTTGTAGAGAGTCCATAGGTCTGATCTAAGAGAGAACCACTGTTGTAGGGAGTCCATAGGTCTGATCTAAGGGAGAACTGCTGTTGTAGAGAGTCTACAGGTCTGATCTAAGAGAGAACCACTGTTGTAGAGAGTCCATAGGTCTGATCTAAGAGAGAACCACATTTGTAGAGTCCATACGTCTGATCTAAGAGAGAACCACTGTTGTAGAGAGTCCATAGGTCTGATCTAAGAGAGAACCAATGTTGTAGAGAGTCCATAGGTCTGATCTAAGAGAGAACTACTGTTGTAGAGAGTCCATAGGTCTGATCTAAGAGAGAACCACTGTTGTAGAGAAACTGATTTATAAATATGGTTGACAAGTTTGTATAGACCCAAACAGAGAACATATGTGTGTTATAATTATTGAGTCAATGATCAGTAAATACACTGGGCAACTCACACAACATGTTGGGCTACCACTGTGACCATAGCATAAGCATGAGGTTTTGTTGCAGCAGTCGGCAGGCATCTCGGGGAACTGAATAAGTGACCTGTCGATCTTCCACAGTAGACCCTCAATCTCTTGTTCATATCTCCAGTTTCTGCAGAATGGTCAAGTTTATGTGTTAGCAATGACTGGCTGGACAGTGGTCAAATCTATGTGTTAACAATGATTAAAGTGGATGATGGTCAAAGTTTATTTAGTCTCTTCTCTTCTACCCTGGGACATGAAGGAGCTCACAGCTTGTTTAGTATTTTCTCTTCTATCCTGGGACATGAAGGTACTCAGAGCTTGTTTAGTATATTCTCTTCCACCCTGGGACATGAAGGTACTCAGAGCTTGTTTAGTATTTTCTCTTCTATCCTGGGACATGAAGGAACTCAGAGCTTGTTTAGTCTATTCTCTTCCACCCTGGGACATGAAGGTGCTCACAGCTTGTTTAGTATATTCTCTTCTACCCTGGGACATGAAGGTGCTCACAGCTTGATTAGTCTATTCTTTTCTACCCTGGGACATGAAGGTACTCACAGCTTGTTTAGTCTTACCTCTTCTACCTTGGGACATATTACAAAAATGTAATCACAGATTGTTTAGTCTTACCTCTTCTACCTTGGGACATGAAGGTACTCACAGCTTGTTTAGTCTTACCTCTTCTACCTTGGGACATGTAGGTACTCACAGCTTGTTTAGTCTTACCTCTTCTACCTTGGGACATGAAGGTACTCATAGCTTGTTTAGTCTTACCTCTTCTACCTTGGGACATGAAGGTACTCACAGCTTGATTAGTCTATTCTCTTCTACCTTGGGACATGAAGGTACTCACAGCTTGTTTAGTCTTACCTCTTCTACCATGGGACATAATGATGCACATAATATATTTAAGCTTCTACCCTGATATACAGAAGCACAATAATTGACATCCGTATCTTGATGTACAGTTTTACACTGATTTGAAAACCCAAGCATGAGTCCGAAGATTCTTAGCGCAGTGCATGAACTCCGTAGCACCCACGATGTTTCTGAACAACTTTGGGTACATTTTAAACTCGAATTTTTCGCTAGGGCAGAGCCTTTAGGCTACTCTTTTTATATTCCAACTGCCAATGTCATTGTTTATATCCGCAACAATACACACGGGTGTCAGATCTTACTACCTAGAGACCAGGGAAAATTACTAGAAGTCCACGTGAAAAAAATCCCAGCCTTCAGCCGGGCCTGAACCAGGAACCTCCAGCACTTGAATTGGACGCCTTGCCTCGATAGCACCCAGCTCCCAGAAATCTCTGTCTATCTGAAGTCTATGTGTGAGAAACCATACAGGTAAAGATTTGTTGCTTTCGCTAGGTAAGATGGCACGTGACAAAACAGATTACCTATAAAATATATAAGCTTTGAAACGATAGACAGAACTGATAGCTTCCATACCTGTAAACCAGCAGGGAGACAACCACTGCAGTGACGACCAACCCACTGAAGATGCCTCCGGTTATCTCCCATATGTGCGCTGTCAGAAAGAATTGAATCGTTACTGGCATGCACTTTGTGACTCCATGTCTATTTACTTACACCTGTGTGTCTATGTATTCCTGACCAGCCTTTGTAGCTTACACCTGTGTGTCCATGTAATACTGACCAGCCTTAGTAGCTTACACCTGTGTGTCTATGTAATACTGACCAGCCTTAGTAGCTTACACCTATGTGTCTATGTAATCCTGACCGCCTTAGAAGCTTACACCTGTGTGTCTATGTAATACTGACCAGCCTTAGTAGCTTACACCTGTGTGTCTATGTAATCCTGACCGCCTTAGAAGCTTACACCTGTGTGTCTATGAAATACTGACCAGCCTTAGAAGCTTACACCTGTGTGTCCATATAATACTGACCAGTTTTAGAAGCTTACACTTGTGTGTCCATGTAATACTGACCAGCTTTAGAAGCTTACACCTGTGTGTCCATGTAATACTGACCAGCCTTAGTAGCTTACACCTGTGTGTCCATGTAATACTGACCAGCTTTAGAAGCTTACACCTGTGTGTCCATGTAATATTGACCAGTTTTAGAAGCTTACACCTGTGTGTCCATGTAATACTGACCAGCTTTAGAAGCTTACACCTGTGTGTCCATTTAATACTGACCAGCTTTAGTAGCTTACACCTGTGTGTCCATGTAATACTGACCAGCTTTAGAAGCTTACACCTGTGTGTCCATGTAATATTGACCAGTTTTAGAAGCTTACACCTGTGTGTCCATGTAATACTGACCAGCTTTAGAAGCTTACACCTGTGTGTCCATGTAATACTGACCAGCTTTAGAAGCTTACACCTATGTGTCTATGTAATACTGACCAGCTTTAGAAGCTTACACCTGTGTGTCCATGTAATACTGACCAGCTTTAGTAGCTTACACCTGTGTGTCCATGTAATACTGACCAGCTTTAGTAGCTTACACCTGTCTATGTAATACTGACCAGCTTTACTAGCTTACACCTGTCTGTGTAATACTGACCAGCCTTAGTAGCTTACACCTGTCTGTGTTATACTGACCAGCCTTAGTAGCTTACATCTGTCTGTGTAATACTGACCAGCTTTAGAAGCTTACACCTGTCTGTGTAATACTGACCAGCTTTACTAGCTTACACCTGTCGGTGTAATACTGACCAGCTTTAGAAGCTTACACCTGTGTGTCCATGTAATACTGACCAGTTTTAGAAGCTTACACCTGTGTGTCCATGTAATACTGACCAGCTTTAGAAGCTTACACCTGTGTGTCTATGTGATACTGATCAGCTTTAGAAGCTTACACATGTATGTCCATGTAATACTGACCAGCTTTAGAAGCTTACACCTGTGTGTCTATGTAATCCTAACCAGCATAATATGTTTTGTGTATACTTCGTTTGTAGACCCCTACACCTGTTATTGTTCATTGCTAACCTGCAAATATGCCCTGCGTACATGTACTAAAGTGATAACTGACAACGCTTGTGTTTAAGAAGTGACACACAAATATGCACATGCCACCACTACAAGTAGCACCCAGATGTGCACATGCCACCACTAGAACAAGTGGCGCCCAGCTGTGCACATACCACCACTACAACAAGTGGCGCCCATATGTGCACATGCCAACACTACAACAAGTGGCGCCCAGATGTGCACATGCCACTACTACAACAAGTGGCGCCCAGATGTGCACATGCCACCACTACAACACGTGGCGCCCAGACATGCACATGCCACCACTACAAAAAGTAACGCCCAGATGTGCACATGCCACCACAACAATAAGTGGCGCCCAGATGTGCACATGCCATCACTACAACAAGTGGCGCCCCGATGTGCACATGCCACCACTACAACAATTGGCGCCCAGATGTGCACATGCCAACTATTACAACAAGTGGCGCCCAGATGTGCGCATACCACCACTAAAAGATGGGACAGCTAGACAGACATAACCTAGGAAGGCTAGATAGGTATAATCTAGGACGGCTAGATAGGTATAATCTAGGACGGCTAGATAGGTATAATCAAGGTCGGCTAGATAGACATAATCTAGGACGGCTAGATAGGTATAATCTAGGACGGCTAGATAGGTATAATCTAGGATGGCTAGATAGGTATAAGCTAGGACGGCTAGATAGGTATAATCTAGGACGGCTAGATAGGTATAATCTAGGACGGCTAACCAAGACAGACATAATCTAGGACGGCTAGATAGGTATAATCTAGGACAGCTAGATAGACATAATCTAGGACGGCTAGATAGACATAATCTAGGACGGCTAGATAGACATAATCTAGGACGGCTAGATAGGTATAATCTAGGACGGCTAGATAGACATAATCTAGGACGGCTAGATAGGTATAATCTAGGACGGCTAGATAGACATAACCTAGGAAGGCTAGATAGGTATAATCTAGGACGGCTAGATAGGTATAATCTAGGACGGCTAGATAGGTATAATCTAGGACGGCTAGATAGGTATAATCTAGGACGGCTAGATAGGTATAATCTAGGACGGCTAGATAGGTATAATCTAGGACAGCTAGATAGACATAATCTAGGACGGCTAGATAGGTATAATCTAGGACGGCTAGATAGGTATAATCTAGGACGGCTAGATAGGTATAATCTAGGACGGCTAGATAGGTATAATCTAGGACGGCTAGATAGGCATAATCTAGGACGGCTAGATAGGTATAATCTAGGACGGCTAGACAGACATAATCTAGGACGGCTAGATAGGTATAATCTAGGACGGCTAGATAGACATAATCTAGGATGGCTAGACAGACATAATCTAGGACGGCTAGATAGACATAATCTAGGACGGCTAGACAGACATAATCTAGGACGGCTAGATAGGTATAATCTAGGACGGCTAGACAGACATAATCTAGGACGGCTAGATAGGTATAATCTAGGACGGCTAGATAGACATATCTAGGACGGCTAGATAGGTATAATCTAGGACGGCTAGATAGACATAATCTAGGACGGCTAGATAGACATAATCTAGGACGGCTAGATAGGTATAATCTAGGACGGCTAGATAGGTATAATCTAGGACGGCTAGATAGACATAATCTAGGACGGCTATATAGACATAATCTAGGACGGCTAGACAGACATAATCTAGGACGGCTAGATAGGTATAATCTTGGACGGCTAGACAGACATAATCTAGGACGTCTAGATAGGTATAATCTAGGACGGCTAGACAGACATAATCTAGGACGGCTAGATAGGTATAATCTAGGACGGCTAGACAGACATAATCTAGGACGGCTAGATAGGTATAATCTAGGACGGCTAGATAGACATAATCTAGGACGGCTAGATAGGTATAATCTAGGACGGCTAGATAGACATAATCTAGGACGGCTAGATAGACATAATCTAGGACGGCTAGATAGACATAATCTAGGACTCTATTTAAATTACAGAAGGGCGTGGCTTGAAATCGTTTTATGACCAGAGATGCTCCACCCGTTTATGAATTTATAGGTGTGTGGTGGTTCCAGGGAAGGGCCTTGTTCAACGCGTAATCATTATCATTATAATTAGATTAGAAATGTGACCACAACACCTACGATTACAAGAAAATCTTCCATGACTAGTACATCTTCCATGACAAGTACATCTTCCATGACTAGTACATCTTCCATGGCTAGTACATCTTCCATGACAAGTACATCTTCCATGACAAGTACATCTTTCATGACTAGTACATCTTCCATGGCTAGTGCATCTTCCATGGCTAGTGTATCTTCCATGACTAGTGCATCTTTTATGACAAGTAGACCTTCCATGACTAGTGCATCTTCCATGACAAGTACATCTTCCATGACTAGTGCATCTTCCATGACAAGTAGACCTTCCATGACTAGTGCATCTTCCATGACAAGTACATCTTCCATGACAAGTAGACCTTCCATGACTAGTAAACCTTCCATGACTAGTACATCTTCCATGACTAGTGCATCTTTTATGACAATTACATCTTCCACGACTAGTACATCTTCCATGACTAGTACATCTTCCATGACTAGTACATCTTCCATGACTAGTGCATCTTTTATGACAAGTACATCTTCCATGACTAGTACATCTTTTATGACAAGTACATCTCCCATGACTAGTGCATCTTTTATGACAAGTACATCTTTAATGACTAGTACATCTTCCATGACTAGTACATCTTCCATGACTAGTACATCGTTCATGACAAGTACATCTTCCATGACTAGTACACATTCCATGACTAGTACATCTTCCATGACTAGTACATCTTCCATGACTAGTACATCTTCCATGACTAGTACATCTTCCATGACTAGTACATCTTCCATGACTAGTACATCTTCCATGACTAGTACATCTTCCATGACTAGTACATTTTCCATGACTAGTACATCTTCCATGACTAGTACATCTTCCATGACTAGTACATCTTCCATGACTAGTACATCTTCCATGACTAGTACATCTTCCATGACTAGTACATTTTCCATGACTAGTACATCTTCCATGACTAGTACATCTTCCATGACTAGTACACTTTCCATGACTAGTGCATCTTTCATGACCAGGACACCCACCTTTTATGACAAGGTTACCTTCCAATACTAGAAAACCGTCCACGACTAGAACACCTTTAATGACTAAAACACATTCTGTCACGATACAATCTCAGTGGTTCCAGAAGTTAGTACTTGTAATAAGTTCTTCTGGTTCTAAAGAGACAGAATTATAGTTACTCTGCCCTTTACCCTAATAATACTTTAAACCAAATTGATTTAAATGTTTCCAGTCCTTCTCCGAGACAAAGCCACTGCGCTTTGTTTGAAATTACATAACACTACGTAATACAGCCAGCTGGTTCAGACTAGGGATGTTAGGTTTGATTCTCATGCCAGTGTCAGAATGTTATCTCCTGACCAGACTGTAGAGACTGAGTGGGGCCCTTTTGAACAGGGGAATTGAGTGGACTCTAGACATTGTGGCGACGGGAGGTTGGAGTTTCGCAAGTCAGTGTAATTCTGGGGAGAACAGGTGTTTGGCAATTAGGAATGTTTGATCTTGGTCAAGTAGGAAACACAATGGCTTCACTGACCGTCTTTTCACACCGGCTAGTTAGATTCGTTGTAAACTAGATTGGGTCACTTAAGAATGTTTGCTCTAGGGATGTCAGTCCAGAATTGACTGACAGGCCACTTGTTAGCTAATTTGATCTGATAGCTACTTCAGAGGCGTGGCTTAAGTCATCGTCTTGAGGGTTGGGTAGAAGCGAGTAAAGAGAGGAGTTTAATTTGGACAATAGATAGTATACTCCGAACCTTTGGAATTCCCGTCACATCGCAGCTAGCAAGCAACAAACACAGGTCGACGTAAAGGTATTTTACGGTCGGATTCTGGTTTGGCGATGGATGGAAAGTTCCCAGGTGAATATTAATTTTAATCTTGTATACTTAGGTTAGGGAGTTAAGCTTAGTCTATACTACCTTTTCCTAATTTGTTTGCACATTCTGCTTGAAATAGTTCTTTGTGAGTATTCAGTATCTCAAGTTAGGGAACTGCTAAACTATTCCTATTTCTTGTATGTTTGTGTCACATGTTTTTCTTTGTATGTTTTCATGTGTATAAAATAAGATGTGAACAATGACATTTGCTATAATGAAATGTAAATATATTGTTTCCACCATCAACCAAAATATGAGTTTGGACTGTGGGAAATGATGCCCAAATATGTGCAGGGATGCTGCTACGTTTTGTGTGCCCACCATGTGCTCACTTAATGTGTTCAACTAAACGGGATTTATAACCCAGGGGAAGAATGATGGGTGAATAGAATTCACGGTCACTGAAAGATAATATTCAGGACAGCATGCACCTATAAATTGTTTGCGTGTTCAGCACAGAACCTGCGCCACATGTTTATGTCAAATCAATGTCAGCCAGTTGGAAGTCTGAGTGATGACGGACAACAGACTTAGAAAGTCAACTATCATGACATAGCATGAGAGAGGAAGGCAGGATATGTGACGTCCATGTAAGACAAAAGACCTTCAGACTAGACTGGAGAGAATGTGGAATATGAGGAGTGATGGGATATATTTTATTTTTATATGTTATATTAATTGATACATGTATTCTTAGTGTAAGTCAAGATACTACACGTATGTGTTTTGTTTCCATGATTACAGCGCCCATGTGACGATCAGTCCATGAAGTAGACTACATTGTGTTAGACTCGGCCAGCTGGGAACGAGGTGGGAACGATGTGGAGAACGAGGTGGGGATGAAGTGGAGAATAAGCTGAAACAGGCAGAAAACAGGCAAGGAAGAGTTGGACAATCTTGACAGTTCCTCACGGGTTGTCAGAGGCTTATAAGATAAGTTAACCCCTTTACGTTAACTTATTACCATCATCATCATACCACTCTAAACCCCGGAGCTGTTTTCTCGCTGAAGCTTACCATCATCACATTAACCAGTCACTGTTTGTGTAAATCAACAAACTGGTAATTTCATTGTAGTAAATAAAGCTGTATGTCAAGTTTTAAACTACATCGTTTGTTAAATTCCAAGTGTATTCAGTCTTACCTGTTTAATTAAACTGTTAGGATATAATTACATTTGGTGGAGCTCAAATAATATAATAATTCTTTAATTATTCATAATAACACCGGGAGAAGGTAGATGACGGAGGAATCATTTGCCCTGTCTAATAATTCATTTAATATAATGCTATAGACATCTAAAATTCCTTTCCTTATCTTGTGGGTACCAAGTTCAGCTAATGTTAATGTACTTAACGAGCCAATATGGTTGTTTTCTTGGGTATCCAGGACTTGGTCTGAGAGCAACATAGCTCAGATTTTAGTTCGGTTAATCTGGTGGAGGGAATGTGTTGAGAGGAAAATCCCTACTCAACATTGTAAAAATTTTATCCACCGCGTCACGTCACACCTTCGATAACTAGAACACATTCGATGAGCAGAACACCTTTAATCACCAGAACACATTCAGTGACTCGAACACCTTTCATGACCAGAACACCTTCCGTGATTACAAGGTCAAACATAAAGTACACTTTTTCCATATAGTCATGGAAGGTGATTTAGGGTTCTGGTTTAAAGCTATGTTGTGTGTGTGTGTGTGTGAGTGTGTGTGTGTGTGTGTGTGTGTGTGTGTGTGTGAGTGAGTGTGTGTGTGCACAGGATCAGGTCGAAATCGTAGAAATCCGTACCAGAGCCACACTCGGACACACTTGGACACACTTGGACACACTTGGACACACTTGGACACACTTGGACACACTTGGACACACTTGGACACACTTGGACACACTTGGACACACTTGGACACATTCGGTGTTGGTTGTAGTGACTGTGGCGCTGCTGGTGATGAGTGTATCCAAGAGTTACAGACAAGGATGTCCAACAAGGCTCCACTTAAAGAACATTCACTCTAGTTCCAACTCTCCTTGGCAGTAAATAGTTATCAGTCTCCATGTGGAGAACGTGTCCATATTTGGCATCCATTTAGTATACCTGTGTCTGCCCTATGTTTGTGGAGCTCCGCCATTGTTCGGTGGGGTCATTGATCACCATCCAGCCACTTCCACACGCCCGAGCCATGCTTGTAGTTACTTGTGTGGTCAGCTGAAGATAATGAACACACAAACTCTGCTCAGCAATGAGCTAACCCGTGCCTCTTGATGATGATGATTATGATGATATGTTGAGATGTCAAGTCGATACGACCACTGATGTCTTGCCACATTGTGGAATAATGCACACAGTTCATCCCTGTGGGGATTCATCCAGTCTAGTTCCCTAATCCTAGGCTTGCTTGGCTAGTTCCCTGATCCCAGACTTGGTTAGTTCCTTGATCCCAGGCTTGGCTAGTTCTTTGATCCTAGGCTTGGCTAGTTCCTTGATCCCGGGCTTAGCTAGTTCCTTAATTCCAGGCTTGGCTAGTTCCCTGATCACAGGCTTGCTTGGCTAGTTCCCTGATCCCAGGCTTGCTTGGCTAGTTCCCTGATCCCAGGCCAGGTTAGTTCCTTGATCCCAGGCTTGGCTAGTTCCTTGATTCCATGCTTGCTTGGCTAGTTCCCTGATCCCACACTTGGTTAGTTCCTTGATCCCAGGCTTGGCTAGTTCTTTGATCCTAGGCTTGGCTAGTTCCTTGATCCCGGGCTTGGCTAGTTCCTTGATCCTAGGCTTGGCTAGTTCCCTGATCCCAGGCTTGGTTAGTTCCTTGATACTAGGCTTGGCTAGTTCATTGTTTCCATGCTTGGCTAGTTCCCTGATCCCAGGCTTGGCTAGTTCCTTGATTCCATGCTTACTTGGCTAGTTCCCTGATCCCAGTCTTGGCTAGTTCCTTGATTCCATGCTTGGCTAGTTTCCTGATCCCAGGCTTGGCTAGTTCCTTGATTCCATGCTTGGCTAGTTCCCTGATCTCAGGCTGACCTGGTTGCCCGACCCCGGGCTTGGCAATTCTCCGATCCCTGGCCTGATTAGTTCCCTGATCCCAGGCGTATCTGATTCCCTGGCTCTAGGCTTGCTTAGTCCGAGTCTTATCTAGTTCACTGACCCCAGGCCTGGCAATTCTCCTACCTCTGGCGTGCCTGTCTGGCCGAACTGCCATATGGATTAGTTGTATCTCCATGTCAGTATAACCATTATCTGAGGTCGGCGACGACGACGCCTGCAGCAGGCTGACTGTCCCTGATGTCGTTGACAATTAACTTGTGTCAATATTTACTGACCTCTTATTTGACAAGTAATCTGTAGCTTCCTAAAACTGCTGGCGCTGTGTCAGCGTGACTCACGGCGACACTGTAGTTTGGGTGTAGGCATCTTCAGGCAGTAGACCAGGCAAGTGGGGGCGGTGGAGGAACTTCGGAATTCATTTCCAACATTCTTTCTACTGTGACCAGTGACTTCTCCTGGGACCAGTGACTTTTTGTGCGACCAGTGACTTCTTGTGTGACCAGTGACTTCTTGTGCGACCAGTGACTTCTTGTGCGACCAGTGACTTCTTGTGTGACCAGTGACTTCTTCTGGGACCAGTGACTTTTTGTGCGACCAGTGACTTCTTGTTCCTTTCATCTAATGCAGCACAAGGCTCGACTGCCAAAGGCAAATTTATGTTACTTTCCGCCCTGTCTTTGTTCATTTTATGTATACTTCTTCCATACTTCATCCCGTCCTATTTATTTATCATCCCTTATTCTTGTCGTCTCTTTTCTTTTAAATGTATGTTTATTCTCATCCTCTTCAGTGATTTCGGAAAACCATATTCCATCCTCATTTCAATGATTCCGACGGACCATATTGCATCCTTCTTTCAATGATACCGACGGACCATATTCCATCCTTCTTTCCTTGTTTCCCTCAGTCACATCGACAGATCCTATTCCTTGTTTACTTCAGTCACACTGACAGATCCTATTCCTTGTTCCCTTCAGTCACACTGACAGATCCTATTCCTTGTTTACTTCAGTCACACTGACAGATCGTATTCATTGTTTACTTCAGTCACACTGACAGATCCTATTCCTTGTTTACTTCAGTCACACTGACAGATCCTATTCCTTGTTTATTTCAGTAACACCAACAGAT